AGATTTTAACACGATATGATTTTTGGTTTTGGTGAGCTTAAATAAGTTTAAAAGAACCGATAATTTCAAACATATTCAACTTATATAAAACATATTTACATTCAATCTAAGTGTTATGCAAATGAATTTTTGTAAACTAAAATATATTTATCTTTATAGGAAACATACTATTTGATCTTTGTTATATCTAATTTGTCTCGTATTCTATAAGAAGTCATGAATTTTTTTTTAAAAAATATTATAATCCCTCGTTTGACGCGGGTAAAAAATCTATAGTATAATATTAATTGAAAAACCAAATTAATCCAACCGAACCAAAAAAAAAACAAAAAAATCTGGTTTTAATTTGGTCTAATTAAGACACAATTCTGATATAACAAATAAGAGCAGTAGTACACTCCCTGTCCAACCCAAAAACTTTTCTTCTTCAAAAAACCATGTCCAGCCTGGAGGAACCAACGCAAAGGCCGAGCAAACCGCCCATGCGCCGTAAAACTCCTTAAACAACTTCAGCTGCATCCTCTTCTTCTTTTCCCTACACGACTCTAATACTTTCTCTACCTTCACTTCATTATCTCCCACCTCGCAACAACGCGACATTAGCAAACTCGCTATTCGATAATCGAAATCTGGTCCTTGTGGTTCCCACTCTTTATATACCTCTTCTGCTCCTTTTACATCACCTAGCCTCAACAAAGACCTAACCACACTTAGATACCCTTCATTGTTACTTCCTTTGTTATCTTTCTTGTACTCATTCCAAAGACGGTGAACTTCTTTTTTACTCGCGATTATCTCTATCGCCTTTAGAGTTAACCCTTCTCTTTTGTAAGCTTCTGCCATTGCATCCCTTGTTTTTAATTCAAGCTTGAGGTTTTTGACATTATCATCACATTCACTCTTGTACTTCTCCATTGGCTCTATGGCTGATACATATGCGTAGACTCTCAAAACGTTGTTCATCGTGACACTATCGGGCTCTATGTTGTTCTCCTTCATCTCCTTTAGAACATTCTCGACCTCGATTCGTTTTCCTAGCTCACTGTAGAGTGATATCATCTTGTTGAATGGTGAAAGTTTTGAGAGGAAACTGAGCTCTCTCATCTTCTCGAATATGGACTCCGCTTTGTCTAGAGTTTTGGAAGATCTTGTGTACGAGGTTAAGAGCGTAGCGTAGACAGAGTAATCCTTCATGTTCTCAGGGATGCATGTTTCGAAAAACTTCTCTGCTTCTTCTAAACCCAAAACTTTCTCGATCAGATGAAGCCTAGTTGCATAATCTTCTGGAAAAAGCTTAAACACCTTCTTTTGAAACATCCATGATGATACCTCAAGTGCATTTGAGAACTGATTCAAATCAAGGAGATTCTTGATTAGGCCTCTCGAATCCGACGGCTTCACTTGATTCCAATATTTTCCCCATACTTCCAGCAACGGAGTGATTGGTGTATCCAATTCTAATTCTATGTCCCTCCTATTCTTGTACATAAGTTTATCTGCCTTGTTCACCATTCCCTTTTCTCGATAACCATCCTCCAACATTGACGTGATCCAACGATCGAACTTAAAACCCGCGCATTCCCACTCTTTGTAGTACATCTCCTCTGCTCGGTTGATCTCATCAAGTTTCAAGAGAGACCCAATCAAAGCTCGAAATCCTTGTCTGTCCATCTTTCTTGTCTTCTTGTACATGTCCCATATACGGAAAACATCTTCTACCTCTCCTGCTTGACCATATAGCTTGATGAGTCTCTCATAAGACTCAGGATCCTTAAATTTCTCTGCTCTACAAAGCATCTCTCTCGCTTTTTCCTTTAAATCCTTTTCAAGATAAGCCTCAGCCATGTCAAGTGTTGTAGACAACTCAAGCGTTGCAGTCGCTTCGAAACGAGCCCTAAAATTGTCTATGGACTCTACGTCATCCCGAAAAGCGTAGACTCGCAAAACTTTGTTCACGGTGACACTATCGATCTCAACGTTGTTCCCCTCCATATCTCGGAGAATCTTATCGACCTTACCTCTTTTTCCAATAGAACCGTAAAGCGAAATCATCGAATTGTAAGGACAAGGTTTCGATAGCAAGCCTAGCTCTCTCATCTTCTCGAAAGTAGATTCGGCTTTATCAAGATTTACGTTCCCATCTTTCGTGTAACTGTGTAGTAGAGCTGAGTAGATTGATTCGCCTCTTTGATTCTTAGGGATGCTTTCGAAGAACTTCTCTGCTTCTTTCAACCCTAATACGTTATCAATCAGATGAAATCGAGATGTGAAATCTTCAGGGACGAGATTGCAGATCTTTCGTTCGATCATCCAATCTGATACATCTAGGGCTTGATGAAATCTCTCTGAATCGCGTAGCTTCTCGACGATTCCTCTCACCAAAGAAGCGTTTAGTTGATTGCCTTGTTGTTGACGCCATTGCTCAAGCACCGTACTGATGTTTGATTTCTGATCTAAAGCCGATTCGATTCGACTATGAAGAATTTGGTTCGAAGACCATAGGGTTTTGTTTGTGTGGGAGCTGAAGAATCGAGTCGTCGTGCGGCTACTGTGAGCTAGAATACGCCTTGCGTGGTGCTGAAGAATATGCGCCATGTTTCTTAAGTTTAGGGTTTTGTGTTAACTTTTTCAGTTGAATCCATTTATATAGCTTTTCTTAGGGTTTTGTGCTATTTTTTTTCAATTGAATCCATACCTTCTTATTAGCTATAGTGATTATGGTATTAAATTAATCTCTAAAGAATTACAAGTTATACGATAAACATGATTAAATCAAAATTTGTTTTTTACGAGATTAAATCACATTAATAGCTTTATATCGTGTTAAGTACATTATGACTTAAAAAAAATACATTATGACTTGTATATGTAGGTTTTTTTATATTTATTACTCCCTCTCTATCATATTAATTGATCTTTTAGAAATTTTGTTTTGTATCAAATTAGTTGATTTTTTCATTTTTCTAGGTAAAGATTTATTGATTTTTAGCTATTTAAATTCTGCAATATTTTATGTAATTGGTTGAATGATTTATTCTAGGTAAAAATTTAATGATTTTTTCAGTATTTATTGGGTTTCTTAATTATTGTGCCATTACCTTAAAAATCATGTTATTATTTCAACAAAGCGATTGACATTTTTTTGAACATAATATAAACCGTAATAACGGAATTGTATTAAAGGATATAGTTAAAGTGCTATAAAGTTAATAAACTTAAGTTTCAAAAAAAAAAAAAAAGTTCATAAACTTTAAGTAAATCTGCTTTGTAACGCGTTAAACATGTTATATTAATGTAGGTGAAACTGAAGATTCACGTTTGAGTTATTTGATTTATAGACTGATTTGAATCTTTTGAACAAAAAAAATTGATTGAATCGAAAGACAGAGAGAAAAGAGCCACCGCAAAAGTGTCTCACACCACTATATTACAACGATTTTTTTTGTTAAGTTTTTCCTAAATGCTTTTATTAATCACCAAATTGTCTGCATAATCTCGAATTTAATAGGTTTCCTCATGCAAACAAATCTAGAACTAGCCAATACAACAGTAGCATAAAAAAAAAGATTATGCTCCCAGCCACCGCCAAATCTTCATTGATAATTCCAATATGCTCTCCGTGATGCAG